TTTGAGTCTTTTATCTATGTATATATGTAAATATTCTATTTTGAGACTCGAGTTGCCTTTTTGGCCAGATTTCATCAGTTAAGTATTTTATGTCTTTGCATGGCATTGAGTTATTCTGTTGAGTTAAGTTTCCGCTGAGTTAAGAAAGCCAGGCCAAGGGTTCGCTTGGGGCCAGCAATGGTCTCCGAGTGCCGGTCCCGCCCAGGGTGTAGGCTCGAGGCGTGACAAATGATGTGAGGTTGAACTGACTGTTTCTTTTTCTTGCACAGTCGAAAGCATGCCCAGTACTACTCTTTGATAGCGGCTCGCTACTCACTTTCTACTTTCATCCATCCACCACCGCTGCCAATAAAGGGAGGTGGCAGGAATGGCAGACTGAGGGTTGGGTAAGTTGCTCTAGCTGATCCCACATCCACGGGTTAAGGATTACACGATCTGTTTATATGGTCTTAGTCAATTCTAACCTCATGAGCTAGCTTTTGGGGTTGAGTTAGTTCTTTATCATGGTATTAGAGACTCCCAATTCATTGCTTACCGATGTTGGGCCTCCCGTCTTATATTGTCCACGATCCTAATGTTTAGTCTTGGGCGTGCGGGTTAAGCCTAAGGTCCATTTCTTTGACACCTGCCATTGGCATTTCATGAATGTTGCCCGCTTATAAGTTTTTTAATGTGTCTAGTTATGTGAGCAGCGATTTTAGAAATCACCCAGTATCACATCTGATGGGTTCAGTTTTTGGAATGCATGACAGAGAGAATATTGAGGTTTGGACAGTTTGTTCCTTTATTTTTCGCATCTTTAGTACCACCGGGAGCTTTTGTTCTCGTTCATGCTAAATCTACGAGTACATTTCCTAGGTTTTCTGCTATGCTCTAAGACCAAATGGTGGTACAGAGTGGGGGATTCGAACCCAGTCTGAGGCGGAGCATTTTATTGATGTGTCATCCTTGACATTTGATGCAACAGCAAGGATGATTAATGAGGATCAAATACAAATACTTATCGATCTTAATGGCTATACCAAGGTATACAGATTGGACTCAATAGTCAATCCATATCAATCCTACACTTTAGATTATTTGCTAGGATTGTTGTTGTGCGTACGCAAGACAATCTTGCTTGCAAATAACACACGCAAACACAGTCGATGAGGATTTGGTTAGCATGGATCCATGTTTGTTATTTCGAGCAATGAATATTATGAAGAAATTGCCTAACTAAACTGCAAAGCTGTGAAAACATCTCATCCTGTGCACATTTGGTTGTCTATATTCTGTATACTATGATTCTGCATTTGTTGTTTTAAGCAGCATTACTCGTGTTACGTCCATCACCTCACGTGTAACGTGTTACAGCATTAAGTATCTCATGATGGACTATGGACCGATCTGTTGTAGGGGGCAAGAATTGAGATTTTTGCAATGCAGCCAGTTCCAATCCAGGTTTCATACATGGGGTTCCCTGGAACCACGGGGGCAACGTACATAGATTATTTGCTTACAGATGAGGTAATTTGCTGGCTAGTGACACCTTCGATATCATATTTGCTGTTAACCTTTTCTCTCTGTAGGATCCTTTGAGTGTAATTTTCCTGTATGCAGTTTGTTTCACCGATGAAGTACGCACATATTTACTCAGAGAAGCTTGTACATCTCCCTCATTGCTATTTTGTCAACGATTATAAGCAAGTAAGTTTTCCTTGGATCTTTCTAAGCTTTATAACAAATCTTATTTCGTCAAATCAATCAATGAATTAATTATGCCTCGATCCCAAATTCTTAGTTGGAGTTGGCTACAACAACATATCCAGTATGGACTCTGAGGAAAGTAGAGTGTACGCACATCTTACCCCTACCTCAGAAATAGAGAGGCTGTTTCCAATAGACCCTCGTCTCAAGGTAAAAAAATAGTCCAAGGCAGTCCAGAAGTAATAAAAGTACAAGAAAATAGGACAAGAACTATAACAAAACAATAACGATAGTTGAAGACACCATTAAATGAAGTACAAAACAAATAATAACAAAAATTGAAGAACCAGAAATTATATGAGCAATACTACAACTACTAGTATGGAGTGTCCTAGAAGTCCTAGAAAATGAGGTCTGGGAAAGGTAGAATGTACGTAGAGGTAGAGGTAAAGAGGTTGTTTCCAACAGACCCTCGTCTCAAGGGAAAAAATAGTCCAAGGTAGTCCAGAAGTAATAAAAGTACAAGAAAACAAGACAATAACTACAACAAAACAATACGATAGTCGAAGTACAAGACAACAAATAATAACAAAAATCGAAGAACCAGAAACTACATGAGCAATACTACGACTACTAGTATGGACAGATAACAAGACAACACACTATTCCCTACTAAACTTCTACTGTAATCCCTTTCCTCCACAACCTCATATCTTAAATGGTATTGACCTTATATCTGTGCTGAACTATTCTAGTTTTGTTTTACTTTTCGCTGCTGCTGAGTCTCTTGCTGTTGTTCTTTGTAGAAATACTGTCATTTGCTAAACTCAAACTGCCAACCGAAGCGTTGTGATTATGGACTGCCTGAGGATAAATTCATATTTGCATGTTTTAATCAGCTTTACAAGATGGATCCTGAGATTTTTATTACATGGTCGTTACTTCGACTGATTTAAATTGGTCAATTCTTACCTTCACAAGCACTTTCTAAAAAAACTTGTTGAGTTGGTATGTGCAGGTGCAATATCCTTAAACGTGTACCAAACAGTGCTCTTTGGCTTCTTAGATTTCCAGCTGCAGGGGAGATGAGGCTCCGCGCACGTAAGTATTTTCTTCCACATCATGCATTTCTCTTATCTCGTTTAGAGTATCAGTCTAGTCACTCAACTAATCCACTCGTAGAGTCTGGTAGTTGAGACTTCGCCCGTTTTTCTTCAGTAAAGTCGAACCTGGTAGAGGAATACCTGTATATTAGCTTATGAAAGGTCTCGTAATGCAGCTCATTTATTACAGATGCTGCTGCACAAGGCCTGCAACCAGACCAAATTATTTTCACAGATGTTGTAATGAAACAAGAGCACATCAGGCGTAGCTCGTTGGCTGATCTTTTCCTAGACACGTTTGAAGATTAAGAAACATTCGACGTCTTGGCATTCAAGAATCTAGTTCCATTCATGTCATGTTCTTAAATTTTGGTGTTTTTTGGTCACTTGTAGGCCAATGTGCAATGCACATACCACAGGAACAGATGTTCTTTGGGCTGGTCTACCAATGATTACACTTCCCCTTGAGAAAATGGCTACTAGAGTTGCTGGTTCCCTTTGTTTGGCCACAGGACTTGGGGACAAAATGATTGTCAGCAGGTATGCGTTCAAATATTATTTCATCAAATCAATCAATGAATCAACAACAAGTCAACAACAACATATTCAGGGTAGTGTGTATGCAGATCTTACCTCTACCTTGGAACGTAGAAAGACTGTTTCCAATAGACCGTCAGCTCAAGGACATATTTTGTGACTGATATCATTTTATTCCTTTTTGGTTTACTTTGCATTCTGCAGTATGAAGGAATACGAAGAGAAGGCAGTTTCGTTGGGACTAAATCGTTCAAAGCTCCAAGATCTCACCAATAGACTCAAGGCTGCGCGAATGAGCTGCCCTTTATTTGATACAACACGTTGGGTGAGTACTTAAACACATAACATGTACTTTACTCAACGACATTCTTGATATGTTGCTCGGACTCATCTTCAAAAATGCTACTTGGGTGCATGTTGAATCCTTTCAAAGTAGTGCATTTTTGGAGACTCCGAACATGAAATGCTCATTTCTTTCTTGTTGTGTTTTCAGGTGAGGAATCTAGAGCGTTCTTACTTTAAGATGTGGAATCTCTATTGCTCCGGCCAGCACCATCAGCCCTTCAAAGTGACTGAAAATGACTCAGAATTCCCTTTTAACCGATAGAGATGTAGTAGGGAAGGAAGAGAACAAGCATTCACTGGGCGGAACCAGAATTTTCACCAAGACATTTTTGAAGATTCTGAACAACACAAACTTCCCCTCAAGTGCATGTGGCTCCGCGACTCCTCTAGTAAATCAACACATTGTGTTTGATCCCTTGATTTTTTTGTCCAAATATTGCTCTATTCCAAGTTCATAGGGGAGCGAAAAAAATATTATGAAGCAAAATAATGTCCTCTCATATGTCTTGAATATGTGTGCTATGCAAATTTTTCTATATTATTAGGGGTTGTTTGGTTGGTGGGACAAGGGATAACAATCACAAAATAAATGATAGGATTATTTTGTTCCGTGTTTGGTTGTAATTATTAATTGGTCTATGGAATCGTTTAATACTAAAATAATGGGGTTAATTATCATATATAGAAGATGGGATAGTTAATCCTATGAAGTATCCTTGTCTAAATCATCTCGATAACCAAATGACTCTGTAGTGGTAGAAATTTTTATACCATCAATTTTTTTTAGTTATTGTAACAAGTAAATTGTCTTGTTTTCGAGATTACAAGTTCGCATTTTAATAAAACATAATATCAGTATTTTTTTAAATGATCTGATTATAGATTTATTTCTCTTACCATAGAAAAATTTAAACTTAATTTTTTTTAAAAATAAATAAATAGTGGTTTTCCATTGGGTCTTCTTTTTGCTATGGTAGGTGAGAAAAAGAGGAATCCCTTTCAAAAATCAAATCATCTTACAAGAGTGTTTAATGTAATTGACCCTAATTTTTTTTATCTTTCTACAAAGAAAAAAAGCAGCAAAATTCAATCCTTAAGATATCATAATCAACACGAGGGAAACACCTTTCACCTCCAATTCCGAGATTGCGGATTCTAGCCATCAAAGGAGTAAAAATGGCAGAAGCTCTCAGTAAGTTAACATATTAGTTGACCACATTCAGAATCTATCTGAAGTATACAAATTCCTTCCTTAAAATTCGTGAACGGGGAAATTCGCTTAGGGTGAAAGAGGTTGGTAAATCTAGTTCAATCAGTAAATCGATCTAAAGAGTAAGGTTTTCAAACTAAATAAGTTCAAACAATAAGTTCTTTTATAGTCCAGCATAGCATTTCCAGGAACTGCAGTTTACAGTACAGTACATACACAGATGATCAACAAATTAACAACTGATGTGCATACAGCCATGGAAAGGGTCTTCCTGGGATTTTGTTGTCCATATGTATCGATGACTCGAGTCTTCTGAACCAACTCAAACATAAATCACATGAATCCGATGCAAAACAGAAATCAGTCTCTCCTGAGATCCATTTCTTCCCTACGAACACCATCAGCGTTTAATATGAGCATTTCCAGCTTGTCACCCTGCATATATGAAAGCAACTTGTTCAGAAACAGGATGACGATAAAAGCTTCATAACCTTCTCAAACAAAACTTCTCCCTGCCACACTTATACAATTTGATCATCCATTGAGTACCAGATCAATAGGAAAGTAAAGACTCAGAAACTTTGGCTCACAATTAAGAGAGTACTCGTAAGATGTCATTTCCGAGTCATGATTATTGCAAAACAGTCACACTTAATAACCTAAAAGTTTCCGAAGATTAATAGTTCTTAAATATTATTGTGTCATTGCATAGATACCATAGCACATAAATCACTTACAGTATATATATCCCTTTCTGTTGCTGAAGCAAAACATGTCTTCACTAAGTCAATGGCTTCTGATTCAGAAAGTGGAGTTACAGCATCCTGTGCAGGTCATGGGAACTTTGTTAGCAGGAAATCACATTTTCCTTTTCTCACAATTCTTAGGTGAAGTTGACAGCACTAGCTACTTCATATACTTGAAAGAAAATTTGGCAAAAGTGAAGTATGAACCAGACCTTGGCAGGCAGCAAGAGAGGGCTTGGAGACTTTAATTGGTTGTCCAGGAAAGGCATGATCAAAGTTGCGCCTGAACCTTGAGAACTATACCCAACTCTCTCATAGGATCCAACAGCATCATATGTAAAAACACAACCCTTTCCTATGAGAATTTAAGAATAAAATAACAATAAGTTTCTTTTCAGCAATGTATAGTGTTGCTCGGACCTTCAAAAATGTCGACGGGTGCTTATCCGATCCTCAAAAAGTAACTCATTTTTGGAAGATCCAACAAGGGTGCGGCAACATTTTTGGAAAGTCCGAACAACATAAAGATGTATACAAATAAAACCTTGAGACAGCATCCTCCCATAATTTGTTACCTTCACTGTCAAGGCCACCTAGAACATTGAACGCATAGTAGGGAAAGAAACGTTTGTAGTATAGGGTGTTTGAAAGTAGCTGTCCCATAGCTGGGCAGCTCATCTGCTTATTGTGCTGGTGCTGATAGGTCTATTTTCAAAGAATAAAAAGCAGAATATCACTTCCAACATCATATTCTTGAAGTGTGAATGTCTAAACAGCAGACAATTTTGAAATGTAACACACATAATAATATTAAATGTCCATTTCCGTATTAAAGCCACAAACAGAGAAAACACATGATATTTCTTTTACCAATAAAGAAAGAGAGAACGCACAAAAATACTCCTTTACAATAGAATGGCGGGCGTCTAATAGGCATAATCATTAAAAGAAGAGTTGAAAAAGAACTTATCAGATAGAATTGAACTACTACAAATGTGACTCATAGATGACTGTTTGTGATTTAGGAAAGACGAGAAACATCTCTATCAAAAAAGGAAAATCAAGAAAGAGTCATCAGGATGAATGAAAACATTAGATACTGCGTGTCCTTTCCTTTAAGCAACGTAAACTTCACTTAAAAACAACATAAAACATAAGCCGAAAATCCAATCTTTCCTGTTGCTTCCCCTGGTCTTCCCCCTGTCAGTGTCCCTCTCCCTGCCCCTCATTGCTTCACACAACCATGTTATTGCACCTTTATCCTCCCTCTGTTCCACTCACATGTTCCAAAACTTAAGTTCATTGCCAATTTAGTAACCTGAGTACTTATGCAAACTTCAAATTATAGGTCTGGAAGTACAATCAAAAACTTCAAAACTTACTAGACAGTGTCTGCTATTTCAGTTTTTGCAGAACATAAAGCAACATCGACAATAAAAAGAATAATACATTGCACCAATGCACCTAAGATTACAAAGTATCAGCAGAAGCAACAGTTAACAGAATTTTCAGCATCTTACCAGGTGCCTTGCTGCCAAAACTTTTTGCAAAGCTCTCACATCAGCTTGAAATCCTGAGGAGGCCAGCACGCACTTGTCAGCTCTGCACATTCAGATAAAATCATTAATAAAAGTAGGATGCTTCATTAAATAAGAAATTACGCTAAAACAAAATGGAAGGCACCAAGAAGCATGATGTAATGAGATGAAAGAATTATTTTTGGCTTTCAGAGATGTGTGCTTGTCCACTTCAATATTAATGTAACAGTACAGAGTAGGGGTATACAATTGCTAAACATATTGAATGCAACCAATTGAGATGATGATTCAACCTTCTGGCAGTGGATGTGTTACCCTTGCTTTTCAATAGTTCATAGTTTATGAAAGACATATGCTTTCTATGTTCACATCTAAAGTCACAATAGTGGGAGCAGCGGTATTTGAATCCACAGGATCCCCTTTTCTGAGCATGGACACAAGTCAGGACTTCTAACATGAACAGGAAAAAAGTTTAAAGATCAGGTCTTCAGGAAAGAGCTAAATACTTTACACAGGAAATGGAAGTAGACTCCTAAAATATAGGCAATCATTAAGCAGAGTTAATTTTTCAAAGATCAGTTCCTTCAGGTACAAGGGAAATGACTTCCTCTTAAGCTTTATATTAAATTCTACGTAAGATTATCTTAATAAGTATGATTATCCTACTTCAGAGCACTACAATTAACACGAGTTAACTTAATATATGGGATAAAGAAAAAAGAGAAAAGAGAACAATCCAAAGAGCGAAAGAACCACAAGGTAAAACAGAGAAGAAGGGGACATACAATTTAATGATCTTGGAGCAATACTAACAAGGACAGGGAACAAAACTGAGAAACGGACTCTATAAAACAGCTACATACTTTACACTGGAAATGAGGCTAGACTACTCAAATCTAGGGAATCATTAAACAGAGTTAATTTTTTTCAAAAATCAGTTTTGTCAGATACAAATATTTCGACATCCTCTTAACCTTTATATAAATTTCTATGTAAGATTAGCTTAATAAGTATGATGTCTCTGGTTCAAATCTCAAAGGACACGGGTGATTACTTCCTATCTGTCCAAGCCTTGATGGACAGTTAGTTACCAGCAACAGCAGAGTCACGTGGGTGCAAAGAGGTTCATCTGGTGAAAAATTACATTGTATATTCAAGGACAAAATTATGTTTTATGTATATATAGTTTAAATAAAATTCTATGTAAGTTTATCTTAATAAGTATGATATCTCATGTTGTGATTTCTTCCTACTTGTCCAAGTTTTGATGGGCAGTTACCCCTAGAGGCTGATATCATTTTCTATGTATATATATTACATGTTGAATCCCATTGACGTCTTAGTGTGTTTACATCATATTTTGAACCCACTTAAGAAGGAAAATTTCACTCCGTCACTGATTGGGTCGTCTTGTACCTATCCTGGTGGGAGGTAGCAGAGGTATCACATATAATTAGTCAAGCTGCGCACAAGCTGGTCCGGCCACCACATTCACATTTTTTTTCTTTCAAAAAGGTTTAATTATCCTACTCTAGAACACTACACTTAGATAAAATCCAGGTAATTAAAGAACTACTAGGTGAATTAGAGAAGAAAAAAAGGACATACAATTTAATGATCTTGGAGTAATCACGAGTTAGAATGTTGTAACCAGTGGACATCCTAGTATCAGCAGCAATTACACAGTAATCAGCACCTGCAATCGCAACACATGTTCTGCAAACAGTAAACAGATCAGATATCACCCATCGAGATCACATTCAACATAGATAAAAAAAGGAAGCCAAAAAAGAAAAATAACAATCTGCATAAAGAATTACCCTCCATTGTTGTCGTAAGGAGACCAGTTAGCTTGCTGCTTCGTCATCCTGATCTACTATGAGAGAGATAGCTAGGGTTTTGCAGAACAAAATTGAAATTGAAATGGAAAAAAGAGGGGTAAATTGATGAAGATGACCTCTTCAGCAAGACAACTGAATTCGGGTACAGTAAATGGGCTCGGGTAGGCCTTCTAACTGACTCTCCAGGTGAAGCCCAATTGTTTTGTGTCTTGTCTAAAAAGGTCGGGTTAAGTTCACGAATGACCTTTATAGGCGGGGCGGTCTTGAATTTTTAGTGCTATTAAATATTTAAAGAAAAAAAATCTTTGAATTAGAAAATTCGGAACATAAAGTTTTTGTTGTCTATCGAGTGTAAATTGTGGACACAAGATATTTCAAGATAATAAACTTACTCAATTGATCACAAATTATGCCTTTTACGTAAAAGCTAGAACTTATATCTATAAGGCAGAAGATTAAGATATTTCAATACAATGAACCTGCTCAATTGATTATATATATTATGTCTTATAGACAAAAGCTAAAACTTATGTCTAGTAGACAAACAAAAGTTGAGGTATGAAATATTATTTATCTATCTCAGTCAACCAATCAATGATCTCTAATTTTTTTCCTCTTCTTCGAGGGTTATTTATTTCGACCAAACATAAAATATATTTATCTCAGAATGAAAGTGCGATTTTGAAGCAGTAAACATGCATGAAACTAAATACATTTGATATACTCGGTATATTTATATATATATACTTGGCTCTGATACCATTAATTGTTTGTTGTTTAATTTTAAACAAAGTTGCGGATAAAATTTCTATGTACATTCTCACTCGTTTACAATCAAAATTAAAATTATGGCATTGCCAATATCTATCACTTTTACTTGTTGTAATATGTAATTTGTTTTTAGTTTTTATGATTTCAAATTATACATTTTGAATCAAAATATCGATCACTTTTATTTCTAACCTGTAACAAGTAATTTATTTTTTACTTTTCATGATTACAAATCATGCATTTAAAAAAGGCTTAATTAAAAGTATTCTTAAATAATTAATATAAAAGTTACATTTTTATGGTGTATATTACTTAAATCTCTGTAATAAGTTTTTTCTTGTAGTCTTATTGGTAATCCGTTTTCTTCCTCATTTTATTTAATTCCCATTGTCATCACTTTCCTTCAACTCATCAATAAACTCCACTTTTAGTTGGGGTTTGGACCGACTTATTTTTAGTGATTTTTGGTTTTTGAGTTATTTTTATGTTTCCAAAATATTTGGATAACACAAAAAAATGTTTTTAAACTTTTTTTAAAAAAGGTGAAAAAATACCCAAAAAAGTCAAAAGTCAA